GGGAGGAGGAAGTTCAACTCGGAACCCCCAGTCTTCCAGTGGGTTCCTCCCTGGAAATGGCTGGGTCCCTGCTTTTGTGAAGGCAAAGGCCACCCTGACCCCATAGGAGCCAGCGTGGACGTCCATGTCTCCTTTTGTCTCAAACAACCTTGGCTGAAGCCCAGAGTCCATAGGTGTCTGCATAGGCCCTGTTGGACATGGAGGTGGTGTTCTGGAGCAGGCAGGCCCAGGCTAGGCTGACCAGAGGAGCAAATGCATCCAGATAATACTAATGAGGCCTTAGTACACGCTAGACACCGCTAACCACTGCTCACACATCATTGCATTTAATTGCCACCAGCAGCCACTATGAAGTGGGCATCATTAGTATCCCCACTTACAAAGGAGCAAGCTGAGTAATTTGCTGACCTGTTGAACTTGAACACGTCATTAGCTCCCTTCTTTGTGTTCCAGGTGTTATCTTTGGTGTTCCTTGGCTCTAGAAGCATCACTCTGATCTTCACCTTCACATCTGTTATATCTGTGTCCTGATTTCCCCTTTGGATAAGGATTCCCATCAGAATTCGGCCCACCCCAATGACCTCATCTGAACCAATACCTCTGCTTGATTCTGTTTCCAAATAAGGTCACATCTGGGGAGGGGGAGACTTCAACATAAGATTCTGGGGGCGGGAGAGGGGGAGCACAGTTCAACCCACAACAGTATTTAATATTTCACCTACTCCGCACCCAACACTGGAGCCATATTTGAGTCTCCCCCCCGGGCTGTACAAATAGGGGTGTTTCTCTTCATTTTAGAGATGAAGGCATGGAAGTCCAGGAAGGTTAGGCAGTTCACTCCACGGCACACAGCAACTAGTACAATGGGCCACTGGGATTTGAACCAGATCATGAGTGAGATGTGCTCACTTTTGAGTTAGACAGACCTGGGTTCAGTCCTAGCTGTGCAGCCTGGGTGAAGCTGTCAGTGTCCTGAGTCTATGTCCTTGGGGCCAATGCTATGCCGTCAGCCACAGTGAGCTGCCCGGGGCTGGTGCTCGGTAGAGCTGGCACTAATGTAAACAGAGCAGTAGCTGCTTCCACAGTGGAGGTTGCCTGTTATGACCAGCTGCCCTTGGTGAGGCCTGGGAATGTCCCCACTCTTTGGCAGCCCAGAGCTCCTTGGGACTATCCCTCACCCCCAGCTGCCCTTTCCCCTCCCAACGTGGTAGAGGAGTTAATGAGGCCCAGATCTCCTGGCAATGCTCTCAGGAGGGGCTCCGAGTCTCTGGGCTCCAAGAGTCAGCATTGGGGCTGGGGTGGGGGTCAGGGTGGGAGCCCAGGAAACCTATGGCATATCCCCTCCTCAGGTGTTTCTCCGGGGGTCCTCCCTCTTGAACCACAGCTTAGCAGATAGCACCTCCTGCTCCTGAGAGTCAGCTGGGATGAGACCAAGGGTTGAAGACTTGTTAGAGTTAATGCTATAAAATCTTATAAGGCTAAGATTAAGGAAAAATCTTTCTAACCTTAAATTAAGTTATGGTTCCTTGACACCAAAGGTAAAAGTGGCAACAACAAAAACCCAGATAAATTGCACTTCATCAAAATGTAAAACTTTTGTGTTGTAAAGGACACCACGAAACAAGTGGGGAAAGGAAGGAGTCTGGAAGTGGGTGGGGGAACTGGCAAAAAAACAGTAACACCAAAAGTAAAAAGACAAACCACAGAATGGGAGAAAATATTGATGAACCATAGACCTGATAAGAGACTTGTATCTAGAATATGTAAAGAGTTCTAAATAATAAAAAGACAACTCAGTTTTAAAACAGACAAGTAATTTGAATACACTGACACATAAATGACTAATAAGCACATGTGAAGATGTTCAGCATCGTGAGTCATTAGGGAAATGCAAATCAAACCACGAGGACATACCCCGTAACACCCACTAGGGTGACTGCAATTGAAAAACAGATAATAATAAGTGTTGTTGAGAACATGGAGAAATTGGAAACTTCATATTGCTGGTGGGAATGGAGAATGGTGCAACCACTCTGGGAGACGGCTAGCCAGTTCCTCGAAAGGCTGAAGATAGAGTTACCACATGGCTTGGCCACCCACTCCTGGTTATACACCCAAGAGAAAGTAAGGCATGTGTTCACCCCAAAACTTGCACATGAATGTTCATAGTATTCGTCAAAGTGGCAATAACCCAAAGGTCTATCCACTAATGACTAGATAAATAAAATACATTATATGCATAAAATGCAATATTGTTTGGCCATGGAAAGGAGCAATGTGCTGATCCAGGTTGAAGACAGATACAAAGGACTAAGGACTATACGTTGAATGATTCACTTATATGAAATGTCCAGAAGAGGTAAATGCATTGGGAAAAAATGTACACGCGTGGTTACCTAGGCCTGAGGGATGGGCGATGGTAGGAAATAGGTGTGAATGCTAAAGGGTACAGGGTTGAGTTTTGGGGGTGAATGAAATGTTCTGAAATTGTGATGATGGTCACACACTTTGGATGGGTGAATTTTTGTTACAAAGAGGAGAAAATGTTTCCTGGGGTTAGCACTGGGCACCAGAACAACCAGTGCCTTCACTTTACCCCCATTCCCCTCCTTCCAGCCTCTCTGTCTGTGGTTAGACTCTAAACTGTGGGCTGGGGCCAAGGAGTTGGGAGAGACCAACCCCTTGACAGGAGGCCCCTTGGCCAATCTTGGTCCACTCTCCTGTGAGATGTGTCCCCTCTGGCTAGCCTGAGCGGGAAAGTGAGCGTGGGCAGCTCAGAGCCTGACTGCCAAGGGAGTCAAGAGACTGGTCAAGGTCAGGGGCCAGCCAGCTGGAACCACAGCTAACACTGCCAGAACCTTCATCAACACCAAGCCAGTGGCGAGCAGCACCCCCTGCTGGCAGAGATAGACAAGCCGCCGCGCAGAATGAAATCAGCCTGGTGGCCTTGAAGTTCTTCCTGCCTGGGAGGAACTCCGGAAAAAGCACTACACTGACCTGAAAGACCTCAGGGCTGGTTGTGGCCATCGTCTGGGAGGGGTTGAATGTAGAGAAGACCCGGGCAAGCAGTGCTGGGGAGACCAACCCAGAAGATTCTAAGCCAGGCACCACTGGAGGGGATTTCTGCCTTCAAGTCGGCAGGAGCATTGGCCCCAGCAGTGATTCAGTAAAATGTGCTGAGAAAGAAATCAGCCTGGGGTGTAAGCCGGAACAATCGGCGAACTCCAAATCATGTGCATTTGGTTGATCTGTGAATAAGAGATGGAGACAGTCCACTTGAGGACCCACTCATGCCCAACAGGGAGCCACTCATGCCCTGCGGGGCTCCTTTGCCCAGAGCACCAATGCCCTGGTGGATGGTCCCCAGATGCTTTCTTCAGGCTCAGATGGTCCCACAGGATGGGACACGCAGGCACCACAGAAGAGGCTGGTTTCTCCATAGTGCCACCTGGCATGCTTCCCGCCCTTCCTTGTTTTGCTCTCTTCATCTCTCATGCCTGCTCCCTGGGGTCATATTCCAAATAAACGTGCTTATGAGCCGTTGTCACGGGCTCTGTCTTAGGGAACCGGGGCTAAGACAATCCTTCCAACACCCGTGACAGAGATACCTGACCCCCTCTCACAGGGAGCCACCTGAGCTCAGGCAGGTTCAAGGACTTGCCAAGATCAAGCAGTGGGTAAGGGCAGAACCAGGGAAACACTGAGGAGGAAGGAGAGGGTCTGCCGGGCAGGGAGTGGGCCGTGGAAGTGACGGGAAACTGGACTGTGTTCCTGGGGGTGCTGCATGTCCGTTGACACTTGTGCTCATGATTTTGAAGAGAGAATATCAACCAAGAGGTGAGCTGTTCTCCTGGTGTCTGACACAGGTTGGCCAGAGGAGGTGGTGGGGGATGGGTGTGAAGCAGGGGGTGAGGCAGGGGTGGGGCTCGAGCAGGCAGGGGGAAGGGCAGGGCAGAGTGAGGACACCCAGAGCTAGGAGTAGTCTGGGTGACCAGGGACGCCTGGGAGGCTTGAGCTCCTGGTGATGTACACCCGCCGCGCCCTCCTTCAGGGACTCCAGGAGAGAAAGGCGCCCCAAAGCTGGCGGAAGCACATCCCCTCTCGGAGAGGCTGGGTAGAGTGATTCGAAGGGTGAGGCAGGCTGTGTGGTCAAGGTGGCCAGGCCCGGCCTGGCCTTGGAGTTCCGAGGACCTGGCACTGAACGCGGCCTCTGTGGTTTACAACCAGCAAGACTTGAGCTGGTTGGACCAACCAGTGAGGGGTGGCCTTGGCATTGGGGCCAAGGCTTAGGCTGCTGGGGTGGGTGGTGAGTAGAGGCAAGAAAGCTCCCAGATTTTTCATCTGCAAAACAAGAATCAGGCACCTCTACCCCGCATGATTAGAGATCACGTAGGAAATTCTAAGAGCTGGTGCCTGAGTGCCGGGTAGAGAAAAGCAGTTGCTCTTTCAGCCATTCATTTGTTTCACCCTCAAAAACTCTCTATGGGGTGGATGCTTTTAGAGCTAGCTACAAGTCACAGCTTAAGAAAAATGAGCCACTGAGAGAGAGTTAAGTGACTTGCCCGAGGCCACACAGGCAAAAGGCATCAGAACAGGATTTGACCTGGCAGCCCTGCGAGAGCCTCTCTGCGTGCCCCTCCTCCCAGCATCCCAGGGGCCCTGCTGGAAACCCGCCCCATTTTCCTTAAGTCTGGTGTGTGTAGAGCAGCTGCTTCCTTGTTCCCGGCCAGCCCTGGCTTCGCGCTGCTCCAGTGAGAGGAGCTCCAAGCTGGCGGAGGCCTCTCCCCTGGGCTGCAAGCTGCTCCTGGGGCGAGCACTGCCTGGCCTTAAGGTGCTCGCAGAGTGGGCGAGAGCAGGGGGAGGGGTGGCTTCCAACTTGCTGGCCCCCGTGGCAGGGGGAGACTGCTTTGGCAGGACTCAAGGCTCCGCCTCCTATGTCCCTTCGCCTGAGAGCCTGGGGCCCAGCCCCGACCTCCCTCTGCTTCCCAGCTGCACTGAGGAGTCTCCCAGCCTTGCAGGCCCACGTGGCCAGCTCTCCTCACTTCCTCCCTCCGGCCCCTCTGCCCAGCCTGGGGGACCCCTGCTCTGCTCACCCCACGGGTCAGGCCTAAGCCTAGGAGCTGGAAAATGGACTGGGACCGACTAGTGAAGGAGGCTCTGGCATTGGGGACAAGCCTGGGGCTGCCGGGGTGACTGGGGGTGGAGAACAGACTCCAGGGAAGAAATGTATGGGTGGAGGAAGGAGAAGGAGACTGGGTGTCCTCCAGGCCAGAGCCCAGGGGCAGCACCTATTGTCATTATTTGTTATTTGGCGAACATTCTTTATCTACATAATCGCTTCACCACAAGTGTATAAAGTAAGGACTGTGACTGCGACTTTACAGACAGGGAACATGAGGCAGGAGGTTAGGGCTCTAAGACCCCCAGAGTTGAACCTAGCTAGGACTGGTCCTCCTGCAAGCAGGCCAGAAAGACCCAACAGGACACCCCAGCGGGTAGGGGCCCCAAGGAGGCAGGGGGAGCAGTTGCTCCAGAGCGCCCTGAGGAAACTGTGTTTATTTCCAGGGTCTCCTCCAGGTTCCGAAGCTGGAGACAGGGTCTCCAAACCCTCCCAGCTTCCTCTGGGCGGGGGCTGCTCTGGGGCTCCTTGCACTCTGAGGCCTGCTGGGGCCCAGGGGTCAAGGCGCCCATTCGGTAGTCGGGCGCCTCAGGACAGGACAACGGACGCCAGGGGCGCTCCCTGAACAAAGACTGGGTGGGAGGCGGCCTGGTGTGTCCCCACCCCGCCTCCCCCAGCGCCCGCTGAGCCGCGACCACAGCCCACAGCCAGGCGAGGCGGAGCGAGCATGGCGCGGGCGTCTGCAGTTCTGCTGCCCCTGGTCCTGCAGCTTGCAAGCCAGGCCGTCGCCCCCGGGACGCGCCGAGGTAAGCGGGAGCGCCAACGTCTTGGGGGCCAGCCAGGCGGGACCCCACCTCCTGCTCAGCCCAGCCTGAGGGAAAGAGCTGGGGCGGGAGATGCCTCTCCCCGCGGTGCCTCTAGGTGCGCTCTGGTCCTCCCCGTCGGTGGAGGAGATGTGTGGGGGAGGCAGCCCCCGGCTAAGGCCCAGGGTCCAGGAAACCTGGGGGCTTTCTGCTGTGGGCTGGGGAGGAGTTCCTGCAGGCAGCGGCGGGGGAGAGGCTGCCCTGGAATCTGGGAGTCTGAAGTTAATTATTTGCCTTGAGAAAAGGAACAAACAGGAGGCCGCTGTGGGAGCTGACTTTGAGTCTCGGGATCAGGCTCCCCCCACCCCAGGCAGAAATGGAGAGGTCAGTGCTGAGGGGCCCCTAGGAAGGTGGCAGAGAGGGGAGCTTGGACAGGTCAGTGGGTCTCAGTCAAGCTTTGTGTCACCCTCAGGAGGGGCTGTCCAGGCAAGGGACCCACCCCAGCTTCCCTAAGGGTCCCAAGCACCCCCAGATTCTCCCTGACCCCCTTATTATAGCAGCTTAAATAGGTCTGGAGGAGCAGCCTGGAAGGAGGGATGTGGAGCTTGGGAAGTGAAACTGGGGTACAGGGCTTAAGATGCTGAGACCCCAGCCTTGGCTGCTCTTCTTGGGGCTGTTGTTAGGTAAGGAGTGACACCAAGAGCTGGTGTCCAGGGGACACACACCCCAACTCGGGGGAGTTCAGGGCAGCCTGAAGAGATGGGAGGCACTACATAAGGTCACATGTGAACTGGCTGCTGAGAGCCTTTGAATGGGTGGTTTAGCAAAAAGAGCAGGTGGGGAGGCTGTCCTCAGCACCCCCAGTGGAGACCCGGGAGAAAAGGGGGTACTGGTTGGGGGGCTTGCTGGGTGAGACTGGAGACTGGTGGAGGCGGGTGGAGTACGAGAGAAAGGAAGCCTCAGGGGCCCCACCTGCCTATGTAGGTCCCCAAGCCCCCTCCACCACAGCCCTGGGGACTGTGGCAAGGCTTGGGGTAGGAACAGAGAAAGCAGATGCGCCCTCTGCCACGTTCTCCAAAAGCACTGTCCTTTCTGGCAGGTGAAGACAGGCAGTTAAAGAGCGGGGTCTGCTCTTGAACTCCCTGAACAACCCTCACACCATCCCCTCGCCCCCCACCTGTCATGATTCTCTCTCCAACCCTGCATGACAGCCCCAGCCCCAGGATGCCCCTGGCTAAGGCCCTGGCTCAAGTGAGGGTGACTGGGACATGCCCCCCCATGGCTGAGGATCCCTGCCAGGTGGATCAGGGTCCCTGGGGCTGACACCTCAGGCGGGTTCTTGCTACTTGAGAAGGTTCACTGAGAGGTCCCCCCACTTCCTCCCATGCTTTCACTGCAGCACCCTCACAGGCCACCTCCCCTTCCTGATGGCAGGTGGGCACTGGGCGACATACCCAGGAAACCTGGCGAGCTCCTTGCCCAGAGGCCCACCCTGTATTCTGCTTCCCTGCAGGTGGGGACATTGCCAGGGATCCCCCAAAGCTTGCAGAGATCCACAATTACCAACAGCCGGATCCCCACTCCTCAGCATCTCCTGGGGCCCCCCAGCATCCCTGGCGCCCCCTGGAGGAGCGGCTGGGAAGGCTGGAGGCAGAGGTGACCCAGCTCAGAGAGCAGGTAGCACTGGTGGGAGGGCCGGCCGGGTGGGTGCAGTTGGTCAAACTTTGTCTAGTGGGAGGGAAGGGTTTTGAGAAAGGGAGCCCCGGGCACCCTAAAATAGAGTTTTGCTTTAAATGTACGTGGAGAGGTTCTTATCTGAACAGATAACATTGACTCTCTCACATCAATGAAGACCCTCTAAGGTATTTCTGCAAGCAGATTTTTATATTCATTCATGTCTTTGGCAAGTCCCTGGAGCACCTGTATATAAGGAATCATCTGGAGGGATTGAGATGGGTGCAAAAGTCCTTAACTGTTGGGACAGGGGGATTGGGTCCTCTGCTGTCTGAAAAAGAGGCCTGGGGACATCCTACTGTCCCCCTGGGTAGCCCCAGGGCTGTGGCTGTTTGAGCTGAATGCTGACTGGAGGGCAACCCCCTCTCTCTGGAATTCTTAAATTTCCTTCTCATCTTGCCTCATTTCACTCCCTGCAAATTTGCATGAGATGGTGGGAGAAGCTGAGGCAGCACCTCCAGCGCCCCCTCTTTCCCTAGAACAAGATGCTGCAGGCAAGGGTGAAACTGCTGGAGTCCTGTGAATGCCGCCCAGCTTCTCCCCAGTGTTGGGGGTTGGGGCAGGCCTGGCCTGAGGGGGCTCGCTGGGAGCCTGATGCCTGCACAGCCTGCATCTGTCAGGAAGGGGCTGTGCGCTGTGACCCCAAGCCCGAAAGACCCCATTGCCATGGTGAGTGCCATCTCGTCTGCTGGTTGGGGTTCCCTCAGGGACTGGAGATGGCCCTGGGGGTCAGAAGATAGCCCTGTCTCTTTCTCAGGCTGTAGCCACAAAGGCCAGGCCTATGGCCATGGGGAGACCTTCTCCCCAGATGCCTGCACCACCTGCCTCTGCCTGGTGAGTTTCTCTGACCCCTGGTTGTCCTGTACTGTGCTCCTCATCTGTCTGCCTCGCCTCACTTCAGGGGTGCTGAATGTTAAGTAAAGGGTTCTGCCTGCCCTTGCGCCAGAATCTGGCCACCATTGGCCTCCAGGTGATGCCCAGTAGTTCTGCTTTCTGAAGTTAAACTACCAAATACTGTGGGGGGCCTCCTGACCCCTCTGGTTCAGACCTGGCAAACAGTGGCATGAAGGGCAGGGAGGGTGAAGTTGTTGGCTTCCTGCGCCACCTCTCACGGCCCCCACCCACCCCTCTGCCCTTGTCTCCTACCTCAGTCCCCCAATGGCCTGCCTGGCCCTCCTTACTTCTCCTTACTTCTTAGTCTTCCTTTGAGAAAACCCTTGGTTTCCTTCCTTGGATTTCTCCACTCTGGGAAATTTGCCAGTACCAGGAAGGAATGATGTTGGGGGTTGAAAACAACAAGAAATGTTGGGGGTAGGGAGAGGGTCTCTGTCCAACCTTGGACTCAGCGTAACCCAGGTCTCCTGAGCAGACTCAGCCTCTTGCTCCTCTGCGTGTCCAGTGGGGCATGAAGTTTGCAATCTGGAAGCCCTGTGCCCCAGGTTCTGATGCCTGTGCAGTCACCAGTCTGCTTCCCCCACAGGAAGGAACCGTAACCTGTACCCAGAAGCCATGCCCGAAAGGCCCCTGCCCAGAGCCAGGAGCATGCTGCCCCCACTGTGAGCCAGGTCAGCCTCCTGCCCACCCAGCCCCACCTCCTGCACTCTTTTTGGGGCCCCTGCATTCTGCATTCTGCCCCTGCCATGTGCCCAGCGAGGGCCTGCCCACCCACTCTGGTGGTGGCGAGGGGAGTTCAGAACTGAGTCGCAACTACTGGACTACAGAGGGGCTCTTTGATCTTTCTCCTGCCCTCAGGGAGCTTGTGATCTAATTGAAAAGTGAAAATGTAGAGCAAATATAATCCACGATTTAAGATCCAGTGAACAGATTAAGAGGAGGTAAAGGGTTAGTTGCCAAAGGAGAAGGCCGGAGGAGGGGAGACCCAATCAGACTAAGCAGTCAGGGTGGGCTTTATAGACAATGGGTTGTCTGAGCTGGATTTTCAAGGGACAGTGGGACCCCATCAGAGGGAGACAGTACTGAAGGGCCCCCCCTGTGCTGAAGTTCAGTTGGGTGGAGGGGGGTTGCTGGAAATAAGTGTGGGAAGGCCAGAACAGACAGTGCAAGCCTCACAGCACGGACGTTCTTCCTCAGGCCACGCGGTGCCATTGAAGTTTGCAGAGGCAGAGCCTGGCGTGTTCCAGGTTGCCAGATTCACGAAGTAAAAATTCAGAATGCCCTGTTACATTTGAATTTCAGATGAACAACACATACTTTTTTTCAGTGTAAGCATGTCCCCTGTGATCTTGAGGACGTAATGACACTGAAAAGTACATTTTGTTTATCTGAAATTCCAGTTTAACTGGCTGTCCCGTATTCAAGTGGTAGCCCTGCCCCAGGAAGAATCTCTCTGGAGACCAGTGTGGTCCAGAAGTCTCAGCCAAAGAAGAGGGGTGAAGTCCTGGGAGTTGATGGATCTCAGAGGAAAGGGGCACACACACACAGAGCTTGCGGCACGTGTGGTGCCTCGGCCACTGTGAGGACATATGATGAGGAGGAAAAAAAGACACCCTTCTCCAAACACTTTACTTGCATTTGTTGTAAAATGTTGGGACAAGACCGATGTTCGTGTCACACACTTTACTGCCACCTGCTGGAAAGTTGTAGGAAATACAAAAGTCTGAATGACGCCCCTTGGAACTGGTGTCCTCCTGGTCTCTACTTAGGGGTCTGGCCCTGATTTTGCAGGCTGCCCCGGAGGCCACAGGGCTGGGGAAACATGGCAACAGGAGCCCTGTGTCATCTGTACCTGCCAGGTAAGGGAATCAGGGCCTGGCCCTGCCACCGCCCACATCCCTGGTGCTCAGCGTACCCTGCCTGGCGGGGCCAAGCCCAAGCTAGGGGCCAAACAGGGCTGCGGGCGCCGCCCAGTCATTGAGGCCTGGAGCCTGCTGGGCCTGCTAGGCCAGCAGAGTGACTGGGCTTGGGCAGTGGGGAGGGAGGAGGGCTCAGTGTCTACCCTGCAGGCAGGGGCCGTGCGGTGCCAGGGGCCCTCATGTTCAGAGCTCAACTGCCTGGAGAGCTACACTCCACCTGGGCAGTGCTGCCCTGTCTGCCGGCCAGGTGACCACCCACCCTGCCCCACCCCGCCCCCGGCCCTCAGTCCCATAGTGCCCAGTACCTGCTCGGGGTCGGGTCTTCCCCCTGGTGATGTCCACCCACCCTGCTCTCTGCTGACCAGCCTATCATCCTGGTACCCTCCCCAGGCTGTGAGTATGAGGGGCAGCTCTATGAGGAGGGAGCCAACTTCCAGTCCAGTTCCAATCCTTGTCTCCGGTGTTCCTGCCTGGTGAGTCCCCCCACTTTTGCCCAGGCCCCGTTCCTTCTTGGATACCCTGTCCTGGGCCACATCTTTGAACCCCTACATGCCTTCCAAGGCCTCTTGCCATCAACATCCTCCCTCCACTCTGGCCCCGCCCCTCTCTGGGAGCCACCTAGGGGGGCTTTATCATTGTGGGTCCATTCCAGAGGAGCCTGGTTCGCTGCGTGCCTGTGAAGTGCCCACCCAGCCCCTGCCCTGAGCCAGTCCCAAGGCCTGGGCACTGCTGCCCTACTTGCCCAGGTGAGCACGCTGACCCTTCCTGGCGGAGCTCCGGGTGGGGCTGTCACACCGTGTCCTCAACTCCAGAGCCCAGTCTGCTGGCCTCTGAGCTGTGGTTTGGTCAGTGTGTGTGTGTGTGTGGGGGGGGGGGTGACACCAGCCATGCCTGCCGTGGAGCTGGACCCCAGAACTGGGGCTCACGTTTGCTCTTGCCGCTTGCCCTGAGGGAGCTGCTTGGCCGGAGTCCCCCAGTTGTCGGGTGTGGATAGTGATCTTACAGACCTTCCTAAACGCTGACTCTCACATGCTTTGTGCTCACAAGCACTAGAGGTGACACCGAGTCACGCCCTGGCATTGCTGGAAAGGCAGGAATAGAAGCAGGTGGAAATTCAGAGGAGGGAGACCTAATCCTGCATGAACACTGGAGGGAAAGTGCCCTGGAGGCGGGTGTCCTGAGGAAACCTTCAGGATAAAGAGCAGTTAGGTGGGTGAAGGGCAGAGGAGGCCTAGGGCATTCTTGCAAGGGAGGACAGCTTGAGCAAAGGCTTGGGACTGGCACGCGGAAGGATGTGGGTGGATGTGAGTTGGGAAGGAGCAAGCAGGCACTGATGGTCAAAACATAGTGAGATGGGGGTGGGGACATGGCCTTGCTGGACCCCGGAGGACCTGGAAGTCTGCCCTGGAGGACTCCGGCTGCTGAGAAGCTTGGGCCTCACTTGCCTGGGCACTGGGAGACACTGAATGTTCTAGGCAGAGGCCTGGCCTGGTCTTGTCTGGACTAGGAGAGCACTCTCAGAGGACATATGGAGCTGGACAGGGGCAGACCAAAGCTGAGGTCCAGGCCGGTTCCCAGAGAGGAGACCAGGCCTCCTCTCTGCCTGTCTCCCCGCAGACGCAGGCTGCACAGAAGGGGGCTCTCACCGGGAACACGGCCAAGAGTGGACAGTGCCTGGAGACCCCTGCCAGATCTGCCGCTGCCTGGTGAGCCCCATGCTGCTCCTGGGCACTCCCAACCCTACCCCAGGACCACCCTATTCCACTGAGCACATCCGCTTGGCTTTGAGGGGACACAGAGATGCAGAAGACCTGATTCTGGGTGCTGTGAGCAAGGGGATGGGGTCGTACCCATGCAGACAGAGGGGTTAGCATAGGTTTGAGAACTGAACTCAGGCAACTCGCAGGCAGGGTGAGCTGACAGGCGGCACAGCCCCAGGGAGGCAGGAATGAGGTTTGACTTGAGGCATCTAGTGGTATGTGGCCACTTACAATGTGGCCTCCAGTTTGAGATCCTACTCCAGTCTGAGTAGGACAGGCTGCGAGTATAATTACACACCAGATTCCAAAGACTTAGCATGAAAGAGATACCCATATCTCATTAATACTTTATGTTCGTTACGTGTCGAATTAATTTTGATATTTGGGGTTGCACTGATGATCAAAATTTAGTTTTGTCTATTTTTTGAGATTTACGAATCTAAAAAAGAAAAATTTAAATGACATGTGACTTGCATTATATTTCCATTGGGCAGCACAGATCTAGAAATCTTCATGGAGGGAGTGTGTTCGCTTCGGTCTTAAAGGGGGAGTGGGATTTGAGTAGGAAAACTTGGGGGAGACACCCCAGGTTCTATAGACTGAATAGCTGTGTCCTCTGCTCCAAAAGTAAAAGAAATGTTAAAATCCTACCCCCCAAGTTGATGGTATTAGGAGGTGGGGGTCTTTGGGAGGTGATTAGGTCTTCGTGGGAGGGCCCTCGTGATGAGATTAGTGCCCTTATAGAAGGGACCTCAGAGAGTTAGAGCCTGTCTTGGGAGAAGATGATCCTGTGATACCAAGGAGCCAGGAAGCAGGTCCTCACAGACACTGAACTGCTGGCCCCTTGATCTTGGACTTCCAGCCTCCATAACTGTGAGAACTAAAGTGCTGGTTTTTTTTTTTTTAAGATTTATTTATTTATTTATGTATACAAGAGCTGGGGTACAGGCCAGAGGCTTGAGGGGTGAGAGGATTCACCAGAGATAGAGTGGGGAACAGAACAGGCAGATCGACTGAAATACACTGCTGAGGGGAGCAGCAGGCGAGTCAAGAGAGGTCTGCTGCGCCATATGGGTAGCTCCCTGGCTGGGTATCGAACTCATGCTGCAGTGGCTGCGGATAGCTTCATAGGTTGTGTCTTAACCCCTTGCGCCACCAGGGAGGCCCATAAAATGCTGTTAATAAGCCTCTCAGTCTATGGGTTTTACCCCAGCAGTCCAGATGGACTGGGCCCCCAGGTCTGTGATCAGTCAGGGCAAAGCCTGGGGAGGACAGTTTGGCCGTGGAGGGCGTGATGCTGAGGAGGGCTGTGTCCTGTGGCAGCTGTAGCCACCAAGCTTCCCGACTGCCTGCCAAAGACTAAGGTCCCTATCGTGAAGGCCGTGGGGCACCTGCCCCCTTTGCAGCCCTTCTCTTCTCTTCTCTGTTCTCACTGACCCTCCTCACCACCTGTGAGAGGAATCACTACCCAGACATGTATGGGGCTAGAGCTGGTGCGTCCACTCGTGAATCCAGGGGTGTGGTGTGTCTGGGCAAGACCCTGGGGAGTAACCTGTGAGCTGCCAGCTGCCACACCAGACACCTCATTTCATCCCCATAACAAGGCCATGAGGATGGGACTCTTACTGTCTTTTTCCATGTGGGTAAACCGAGTCACCGAGGACTCAAGTCACATGCTGTTATACATCTGGGTTGGTTTCCTAGGGCTGCGAGGCACCACAGGCTGAGCGAGTGGCTTAAACAACAGAAATGTGTTGTCTGGGTTCTGGGGGCAGAAGTACGAGATGGAGGCAGGGCAGGTTCCTTCTGAGGGCTGTGAGGGAGAAGCTTCTCATTCCCTGGCTCTCTGGCCACCTCTGGCGTCCCTTGGCTCCTGCCATTATCCTGCTGTGTCCCTCTTCTTGTGTGTGTGAGTCCAAATTTCCCCTTTGGATATGGACTCCCGTCACTAAATTAGGCCCAGAGCACTCCAGGATGCCTTGGCTTTAACTAACTCTATTTGCTATGACCTTGTTTCCAAATAAGGTCATGCTCTGAGGTCCTGGGGTGAGGACTTCAGCATGTGCATTGGGGGAGGCGGGGAGAGTTCATCATAAGCACATCTATTGAGTGGACAGCTGGGACTCAAATGCTGTTTCTGCCCCTTGACTGAGCTCTGGTGGCCCCTTCCCTGCCCTCTCTGTCCCTGCCCAGGAGGGCCACATCCAGTGCCGTCAGCGAGAATGTGCCAGCCTGTGCCCGTACCCTGCCCGGCCCCTCCCAGGCACCTGCTGCCCTGTGTGTGACGGTGAGTCAGTGGGGGGAGCCAGTGGTGGGGTTCAGACAGTGATGGATGGTCCGGTTCTGGTCTCCCTCAGAGGCCAGGGGCCCTGGGGTGCCCTGAGGAGGATCTGAGGCACACTCTTCCTGACAGGCTGTTTCCTAAATGGGCGTGAGTACCGCAGCGGGGAGCCTGTAGGCTCTGGGGACCCCTGCTCGCACTGCCGCTGTGCCGTGAGTGTGGCTGCCTGGCAGGGGGGGCCTGGCTTCTGGGCCTGCCTCTCGCATGCTGACCAGGCCCTGTTGGCAGAACGGGAGCGTCCAGTGCGAGCCTCCACCCTGCCCACCGGTGCCCTGCAGACACCCAGGCAGGATCCCTGGACAGTGCTGTCCAGTCTGTGATGGTGAGTGGGGGCTCGAGACCTGGAGAGGGACAGGCATGGGCCCGAGAGAGGCTCCCAATGTGGGGTTGGCTCCCCACGAGCCTACAGAAGCCCCTTGAATTTCAAGCACAGGGGAAACCCTTTCGAGACCCCAGCTTCTGTCAACACAGGTGGGGGACGAATCCTCACCTTCTCGTGGCAGCTGGGGGGCACTGCGATGGGCTCCACACTCCTGGGGCAGGAGGAGGCTGGCAGGACCCCCTGGAGGACACGGTGGCTATCCAGGTGGGGGGTAGACCTCAGGGAGGTGTGTGGCTTGCCTGCCCGCTGTCCTCCTGTCCAGGCTGTGAGTACCAGGGACACCAGTATCAGAACCAGGAGACTTTCAGACTCCAAGAGAGTGGCCGCTGCAGCCTCTGCTCCTGCCAGGTACGCTGTCTCCTCTCATCACCGGTCTGTCTGGTCCTTTCAAGTCCTCTCACCCAGCCTCCCTCCTAGGCCGGCGAGGTCTCCTGTGAGGAGCAGGGGTGTCCGGTCGCCCCCTGCACTCTGTCTGACTCTGGCTCCCAGCTCTGCCCAGGTGTGTATGTGAGAGAGGAGCTGTGAAGGGGAGTGTCTTCTGCAACGACTGGAGGTGGAGGGGGTCCCTCCATATGGGGTGGGGCAGCTGGGACTACTAGGACCCCTTATGGGGGTCCCTCCATAAGGGATGGGGCAGCGGAGTCCACTAGCCATTCCAGAGTGGCAGAGTATATTCAGAGGCTGTGGTGGGGGTGGCAAAGCCAGGTTCCTGGGAGGGGGGTGAGTGGTCTGGGAAGGACAGATGGATGGGGGTGGGCAGGTTGTCATGGTGACAACCCCCCTCGCTGTAGCCTGTGTGCTTGATGGAGAGGAGTTTGCTGAGGGGGTCCAGTGGGAGCCTGATGGTCAGCCCTGCACTGCCTGCTCCTGTCAAGATGGGGTGCCCTTGTGCCGGGCTGTGCTCTGCAAACCAGCTCCCTGCCAGCACCCCACCCAGCTCCCTGGTGAGTGCCCCCTCTCCAGTTCACTTTCTTCCCCTGCTTGGGCAGCCTCTGACCTGCTGACTGACCAACCCACCCTGTCCAGGCACCTGCTGCCCCCACTGTGAGAGCTGTACCTACCAGGGCCAAGTGTACGCCAATGGGCAGAACTTCACAGACACAGATAGCCCTTGTCACACCTGCCACTGCCAGGTACTCCCCAGGCTCGCTGCCCCCTTGCCGAGAGCCCCTCCTGGGCCCACCCCCATTGTCCCGTCCCTGCTTGCAGGATGGGACGGTGAGGTGCTCCTTGGTCAGCTGCCCTCCCACAACCTGTGCCAGGCCGCAGAGTGGACCAGGCCAGTGCTGCCCCAGGTGCCCAGGTGGGTGTTAACAGTAGCTCTCTGGCTTGGGGGACCTAGACCCCACCTTCACACCAAAATGTGGGTTCAGCAGATTTCTTAGAAAGCAATAGTCTCCTGAATTGCTTCAGTCTGACACAGCTTGGAATGCTCTGGAACTCACAGGGTGCAGGTGGGAGGGGAATAGAGAATGGCTTACGCCTTCGTGTTACTGCACCGCCTTCCCCTCCCAGCCTGCATTTCTTTTTTAATACCCCCACCACTAAGATTGATCCACAAATCTACCTGTATAACAAGGACACGGCTTCACGCCAACAAATGTCTGGGTCTGCTGTGTGGGAGACTCCCGGGAGCGTGCTAGGCCACCTGTCAGCCACATAGGCAGAGGGCATCAGCTCCTTCCTGGGGGCACAGACACCCACGCACACACAGCCCCCTCCCTCCCTCCTTGGGTGCTTCTGCAGTGACTTTGGACTCCGAGGGTACAGGGGCTGTCAGCCTGTCCCCAGCACTGTTGGTCTTGGCCCACCCTTGCCACCCCCCTGCCCAGACTGCGTCCTGGAGAAACAAGTGTTTGTGGACGGCGAGAGCTTCTCCCACCCCCGAGACCCCTGCCAAGAGTGCCAGTGTCTGGAAGGCCAGGCCCGCTGCCAGCCACGCACCTGCTCCAGGGCCCTCTGTGCCCACCCGCTGGCTGGAGCCTGCTGCCAGAACAACTGCCAGGGTGAGGGACACACAGTGGGCTCAATGGGCTCCTGGGATGGCTCGACCTAGCAGTGGGCACTTGGGCTGGGAGGGCAGGATGCCCCGGATGAGCAGGGTCTATAGCTGCCCCTCCCCCAGGTTGTGCTTTTGGAGGGAAAGAGTACCCCAGCGGAGCCGAGTTCCCCCACCCCTCCGACCTCTGCCGCCTGTGCCGCTGCCTGGTGAGTCAGCCTTGTGAAGGGCAGCCCAGGGGCAAGGGGAGGTCCTGAGAGGTTGCCCAGGTGGTGGTGAGGGAGTGGGTGTCCCGGGTCTTCCACCTCCAGCCCCACCGGGGGCGGGGGCCCACCTGTCCTTGTAGAGTGGCAACGTGCAGTGCCTGGCCCGCCGCTGCCCACCCCTGCCCTGTCCAGAGCCGGTCCTGCTGCCCGGAGAGTGCTGCCCGCAGTGCCCAGGTAGGAACTGCACCTCCAGGCCGCGTCTCCCGGGGGACCCTCCCAAGCCTCTCCCTGGCCCCCCTGAGTCTGGGTGTCGCCTCAGCTGCCTCCTCCGATTGCCCTCTGCCTGGGAGTGAGGTCCCCGCCCGCCACCAGGAGCACTTCTCCCCGCCCGGGGACCCCTGTCGCCTCTGCCTCTGCCTCCATGGCTCCGCGTCCTGCCGGCGGCTGCCCTGCCCACCCGCGCCCTGCGCCCACCCACGCCAGGGGCCTTGCTGCCCCTCCTGTGACGGTAATGCCCACTCAGGCAGCACCCTGATCCCCCTTCCTCCCACCCGCTCCCTCCGTCCTCCTTACTTTGTCCCTCTTTTTCCAGCCCCGGGTGGGACGCCACCCTGGTATCTACCTCCCATGTTGGGGTTCGCACAAAGAATGTCGGGGGACAGCGCCCTGTCCACCAGGCCTGGGGTGTTGTAGGGCTGGTAGACACAGCCCCAGCCTCTGCCCCTCATCTGCCCCCTAGGCTGCCTGTACCAGGGGAAGGAGTTTGCCAGTGGGGAGCGCTTCCCTTCTCCCACCGCCACCTGCCAAGTCTGCCTCTGCTGGGAGGGCAGTGTCAGCTGTGAGCCCAAGGCCTGTGCCCCAGCGCAGTGCCCCTTCCCTGCCAGGGGGGCCTGCTGCCCAACCTGTGATGGTGAGGGGACTGTGGGAGGTGGGGGCCAAGGGGCTGGGTCAGCAGCATCGTACTGCCCCAGGATGGGGGCGTGGTCCCAAAAAAAAGCCCGATACCTGAATTTTCTCCGGCCACTGATGGCTGTGTGACCTTGGACAGGTAACGAACGTAACCTCTCTGGGCCTAACAGTTTTCCAAAATAGTGTGTTTTTAAAATGCGTAGTTTTGTGGGGCCTCCTGGTGGTGCAGGGTTAAAGACAGTGCTACCAAGCTGTGAGCAGCAACTGCAGCATGAGTCTAATCCCTGCTGGCCAGACTGCCCTTACCCTCCCCCACAACCCCACCACACATAAGCTCTCCTGTTAACACCCCCAAAGTGCACTTGTTAGAATAGATGAGTTTATTTTTTTTTAAGATGTATTTATTTATGCATACAAGAGCTGGGGTACAAGCCAGAGGTGTGGGGGGGTGAGAGGATTCACCAGAGACAGAGTGGGGAGCAGAACAGGCAGACTGACTGAAATACACTGCTGAGGGGAGCAGCGGGCGAGGCAGGAGAGGTCTGCTGCACCATGTGGGTAGCTCCCTGGCCAGGGATCAAACTCGTGCTTCACTGTCTGCGGACCGCTCCATAGGTTGAGTCCTAACTCCTTGCGCCACCAGGGAGGCCCCTAGAATAGATGAGTTTATATTGGCACATCAGTATCACCGTAGATGCCCTCTCTTTTTTAAAAAGAGGGGGAAAAAAACCCTAGTGTCAGCTCTAAGGGCCACTGCCGCCTCCCAGGGACTCTTCTCCGTGAGTAATCAGAGAGCTTGAAAGAGCACTGAAGAGAGGGGACCTGGGCTGCAGGTTCTGCGTCTCTGGGTAGGACTAGCCCCAGGTTTGGGAAGACTGATGCCCTCTGGCCTGGCAGTGGCCTGCTGAGTATTTAATCCCATGGGGGTCTTTCCCTACAGAGTAAGGCTGAAGGGGAGGAAGTCTACCCTTTGACCAGTTCCCCCCACACTCCTGTGTCCACCAGCCAGACCTGGGCCCTTCTCCCCACCGTCGCCAGGTCCTTGAAGCCTTGGACTCCCACAGGCTCAAGGTCAGAGCCATGACCTCTGTCCTCACCCCTTTCTGCTTCTTCTGCCTCTCCTGTCCTCTCTGGAAGGCTGTGAGTATCTAGGGGAGTCCTACCTGAGCAGCCAGGAGTTCCTGGATCCCCGAGAGCCCTGCCAACTGTGCACCTGCCTTGGAGGCTTCGTGACCTGCAGCCGCCGGCCCTGTGAGCCTGTGGGCTGTAGCTACCCACTCACCCCGCCTGGACACTGCTGTCCCACCTGCCAGGGTAGGTCAGGCCTGCCCAGGCACCACCTTTTCTAGAACTCCCAACAGCCAGGTCACCTGGTCTCGCCACCGAACCCCTCCCAGAGATGCCCACACCCACACGCTGTGCTTCCCCCAGGCCCCTCACAGGGTACGAGTGGCTCCTGTGAATCACTGTGAGCGCAGCTTCCTTCCCTCCTGCCTTCCTCAGCCCAGCCCCTCCCCTCCTCTTCCCACACTGCCCACCTAGGTGGGGAGTTCTCGGTAGTCACCAGCCCTCCAGCCCTCCACCCGCTTCCCACCCACTCGCAGGCTGGCTGGAGCCTTCTCAGCCACTCCAGGCCACACTCCTCTCTCCTCTGATTCCCAGCCCTGGCCGAGGCCCCCACTAGGCGGGCACAGTGTGTGTGCACACCGGGTGTGTGCATGTGTGTATGGTATGTGTATACGTGTGTGGGTGCAAGTATGTGGTGTGCGCATGCATGGGTGTGTGTGCATGGGGTGTGGGTGGGTGGGTGGCGGCAGAGGGTCCTGTTGGTGATGCCTCTTTCTCTACATTTTTCATTCCCCTTTCTGCCAGGATGCCTCTATCTTGGGGTCACTGCTGCCTCTGGAGAGATCTTCCCTGATCCCCTGGACCCCACATGCTCCCTCTGCACCTGCCAGGTGAGGCAGCCTTTGGGGAATGTGGTGACCCTTTATTCCTTGATCCTCCCCTCTGGCCAGGAGGAGGTGGTCTCCTCCTCCCAGGTTCGCAGCATTTGGATCCAAGTCTCCTGGGCCAACAGAGGGGGGTCCGGGCCTGGCAGGCTCAGTAGGGACACCCATGGGGAGAGATGCCAGGGGAGAAAGGAGGTGGCAGTGGGACCTCTCTCCCCCAGGAAGGTTCCGTGAGCTGCCAGAAGAAGCCATGTCCGCCGGCTCTCTGTGCCCACCCCTCTCCAGGGCCCTGCTTCTGCCCCGTCTGTCACAGTGAGCTGCGCCTCCCACGCCCGTGTCCATCCTGCTCCTCCCCCCTCCCTCTCGGCCCTGCTTGGGGTTGGACTGGGCAAGATGCAAGGAAGTGTGTTGCCCACCCAGGAAGCCTGTCACCCACAGGCTGCCTCGCCCAGGGCCGGGAACATCAGGACGGGGAGGAGTTCGAGGGGCCCCCTGGCAGCTGTGAGTGGTGTCGCTGTCAGGTAGGGTAGGGGAGTGGCCCCGGGCCTGGGGCAGGGCTTGGGTCCCAGTGCCTCTGGGGTGCTCAGCCCTAGGGGCAAGTCACTGACCTTGCATCTCCCGCAGGCCGGCCAGGTCAGCTGCGTGCAGCTACGGTGCCCACCCCTGCCCTGCCCGCTCCAGGTCACGGAGCCGGGGAGCTGCTGCCCTCGCTGCAGAGGTGTGCCCGGGCCCCTGGGGCTGCCCCCTGGCTTCCACCCTGGGACAGATGCTCCTCTCTCTACCGCTGCCTCCCTCGGCCTCTTCTGGTTTCCCACCTCCTGCTCATCACCAGACCCTCCCTCACCTTCCACTGGCCCTACCTTTCCCTGCCCCCGCCCTGGCCAGACCATCTCCCCTGAAAGCTGCCTCCTTTCTAACACGCCCCATCCCTACGGATAACACCCCCCGAGCCAGGCACTTCCCCGCATCTCACTGATGCACCCCGGTCTCATCGCTAGCTGCGGCTGCTCCCCATTTCTCAGGGGAGAGGCCTAAGGGGCTGACAGGTAAAGTGACGCGTCTGTCTACCTGGGGGCACTCAGCTAGTAGGCGGCAGAGCTAGATTGGCCTCTGGGCCATCTGGTTCTGGAACAGAAGCCCTTTCTAGCCTGCCCGCTGCGCTTGCCCCAGACCCTGGCCAGCGGGTGGAGTTTCCACAGAACACAGCGTCTCACCTGCCCCGAAGGCGGCAGGACAGTTCAACCCCCAGTTAACAGAGAAGAACAGGAGCTTGAGGAGCTTGAGCACTGTGGGGGATCAGTCAGTGACGGCCCCGTGCCCTGCGCATGTGTCACGCCCGGGCCTGGCGCTGGGTCTGACAAGCAAGCGACATGGGACAAGACCAGAGCTCAGGCGTTGAGACCCACCCCCCACCCCCCACCGCCCGGGGTCTTCGCCCCCCCCCCCCCGCCGCCTTCCCACAGATCCCTGCAGACCCCCCCAGGCTCCTGCTGGTCCTGCCGGCCACCGGGAGGGGGGTGCTGGGGCAGACATGCGGCCTCAGGCTCAGAGCCGCCTGCCCACCCTGTCACAGGTTGCCTGGCTCACGGGGAAGAGCACCCTGAAGGCAGCAGCTGGGCACCCCCCGATAGCCCCTGCTCCTCCTGCATGTGTCACGAGGGTGTCGTCACCTGTGCCCACATCCAGTGCGTCACCTCCTGCGCCCAGCCCCGCCAGGGGCCCGGTGACTGCTGCCCGCGCTGCTCTGGTACTGGGCCCTGGGGAGGAGGGGTGGCGGGGAGGTGGCACCGGCATGCCTTGTACACGCCCCAATCCCTGGGGTTGGGGGCTCCCACCCCTGGCTGCCAGCCTGAAGGCTCTGGCCCTGTGCTGCTCTTACTCCACACCAAGACTGTGAGCACGCGGGGCGGACGTACGCGCCCGGGGAGAGCTTCCAGCCTGGGCCGGACCCCTGTGAAGTGTGCGTTTGTGAGGTGGGTGAGGGTGATGCTGAGGGGAGGGCGCCCGGGGAGGGGCCACAGGCACTGAGCGGGTCAGCGGCGGGAGGTGAAGCAAGGCCGGAAGTCTGGGGTTAGACACAGGGCACCGGTGCATGCGCTTGGGGCGTGGGCAGGCCTCCTGGCCGAGGGCAGGGGGGCACACTAGGAGGTGGGGGAGATGCCTGGGAAGTGCCGTGGCCACATCAGGAAATTTCATTTGGAAGGAAATGGTGAGCCATAGAAGGATTTTGAGCGGATGAGTGAATTCACAGGTCGGGAGATGAGGCAGCGGGCTTTGGAGGAGGGTGGCATGAGAGTGCGGGAAGGTCAAGGTCGCATAAGGGTTCAACTGACTAGAAAGAGAAAGGCGCACCATCTCCTGGGCTTGGCCAGTCTGGGCCAGGAGCAAGTCTGGGAAGGCAGGGGTCTCTCTGCAGACATGAGTCTCACCTGAGCGAGGCACATCCTGGAGGAGACGTGCAGCAGGAGACGGAGTCCAGGGCAGAGGGTTGCTCTCAGCTCAGCTTCCAAGACCTGGAGCCATCCCCTGCCCACTTATTCTTGCAGCTACAGCCCGAGGGGCCTCCCAGCCTTCGCTGTCACCGCAGGCAGTGTCCCAGCCTGGTGGGCTGCCCCACCAGCCATCTCCTGCCCCCAGGGCCCCAGCAGTGCTGCCCCACCTGTGCCCGTGAGTGTGGGGATCTGGGGGCAGAGAAGAGGGTAGGATTGCCACCCCACAGAGTGACCCTGGAAAAGTCAGTTCTCCCCAACCCCAGCTCCAGCCCTTTCCTGACCCAGTGGACTGGAAGCCCATGTCAAGGCAGTGAGGCCTGTACCACCCCAAGGGAACCTGGGGAAGCTGGCAGGAGTCGAGGTGCTAGGGATATGAATTTGCCCTGGGCCCAAGAGATCTGGGGGCACAGTGAGTAAGTGGGGTCAACTGGGCTGTTCACCCCACTTCCCTCTTCTCCCCCAACATTCGTGTCTTCACAGAGGCGCTGAGTAACTGCACAGAGAGCCTGGTGGGGTCTGAGCTGGCTCCAGCAGACCCCTGCTACACCTGTCAGTGTCAGGTGAACCTTCCTGCCCTGGGCCCTAGAGCCCTCTCTCCGTCGCCTCCTCTGTGGGCTCTGGCTGGGGCTCTTCTCCTGTGGCAGCTCCAGCTCCCCACTCGCTCCACTTGCCCCGAAACTCACATCTGGCCCAGGCCCCCCTCCTGACTGCACTGGGCTCCATCCTGCTCTTCACCCATGGTGCTCCCATGCCCTCCACAGGACCTGACTTGGCTCTGCGTTCACCAGTCCTGCCCCGAGCTCAGCTGTCCCCCCTCAGAGCGCCAGATGCCCCCTGGAAGCTGCTGCCCCGTGTGCCGGGGTAGGTGGCCAGCCTGGGTCTGCACTCTGAGTGTGAGCCCAGGAGGGTGGCAGCCGTGAGCCAAGTGGGCAGCTCGGGGCCTGCACCAGAATGCAGGCTTCGTTCTTTGGCAGAAATGGGAGGAGGGAGAAGAGGCCCAGGATGTGGAGGTGGGCGGGGGTGGGGGGCCTGCCTCTGGCTCTTCAGGCCTCCAGGCTCCTTCAGACTGCAAGCCCTGCCGTCTCCTAGGCCCCCGATCCTGGTTGACAAAGCCAACACCATCAGGGTGCTAACAGAATGGGGTGGGCACCCCCTGCTGTGGGCCACAGGGTGTCCTCCAGAGAGGAGGGATGCAGCCAGAAGGACTGTGCTCCCCCACCCCCGTTTCATCCTCCTCAGAATGTGTGGTGGAGCCCCAGGGCCGGAGAGCGGCAGATGGAGAGAGCTGGCGGGAGCCCAGAGACCCCTGCATTGCCTGCACCTGCCACGTGAGCTGGGGTGATAAAGGGAGGCATCTGGGGAGATGGGGTTCCTTGAGATCTTTAGGGAAATGTGCCCCCCGTGGGTAAGAGGGGGCAGGGACATCCCTGTGCTGGGGCAGGGAACTGAGCCCTGGACCTCACCCCTGACTTGAACATGAAGTGGGTGTTCTTGGGAGGCAGGGGCTGCTGCCTCAGACCCTGACCCAGAAGGCCCCCAGAAATGGGAGGCCAGAGGGCCGGGTCCTGCCTGAAGTCCTTAGAGCAATGGTCTGTCCTCAGGGGGGCCACGTGGAGTGCCACCTGGAGCAGTGCCAGCCCCTGTCCTGCCCCCACGGTTGGGCGAAGGTGCGGGGGGCCGACAGCTGCTGTGAGCGATGCCAAGGTGCCAGCCAGGACGGTGGGCGGGAGCGGGAGAGGCAGAGCCCTGTGCGGGACAGTGCGCAGACCCTCCCACTCCTGTCCCCTCAGCCCCAGCGCAGCTGTGCAAGCACCAGGGCCGGGAGGTGGCCTCCGGGGAGCACTGGGCGGTGGACGCCTGCACCAACTGCTCCTGCGTGGCGGGCACCGTGCACTGCCAGAGCCAACGCTGCCCGCCGCTCGCCTGTGGCCCCGTGAGTGCCCGGCCTGGGGCGGTGGCGTGAGGGGGTGCTGAGGGGGTGCTGGCCGGCCTCGGAGGCTGGGCTTAGGCCGCGAGGCGGCGCAGTTCCCGACGCGGCCACGAGGGGGTGCCCGAGCCCGCGCGCCGCGAGCGGGGAGCGCGTCGGAGGCTCCCGGGGGCGCGGCGCGGGGCGGGCTGGGCGAGCCAAGCGTCTGATGGTGTCTGGGGGCGAGGCCAGGACGAGGCCCCCGCCCTGAGTCCGGGCAGCTGCTGCGCCCGCTGCCTGCCCCGGCCCGCTTCCTGCATGGCCTTCGGAGACCCCCATTACCGCACCTTCGACGGCCGCCTGCTGCACTTCCAGGGCGGCTGCAGCTACGTGCTGGCCAAGGACTGCCGCGGAGGGGACTTCAGGTGCGCCAGCCCCTCTGCCTTCTCTCTGACGCCCCACACCGTCCCTGCTGACCGCGGCACCCCCGTCTCTCGCCACGCAGCGTGCACGTGACCAATGATGCCCGGGGCCGCCGCGGCGTGGCCTGGACCCAGGAGGTGGCCGTGCTGCTGGGACACGTGGTCGTGAGGCTGCTGCAAGGCGGGGCAGTCACGGTGAGCAGGGCCGAGCACCCGGGGCACAGTGTCGTGCTGTCCACCTGTCCTTCCCGACGTTGCCACCGCTCCGCCTCCCTTCTCCTGCAGGTGGACGCGCGCCCCGTGGCCTTGCCCTACCTGCAGGAGCCGCTGCTGTACGCGGAGCTCCGGGGACGCACGGTGATCCTGCACGCCCAGCCCGGGCTCCAGGTGCGCGGAGTGGCCAAGTGGGGCGGGGCGGGGAGCTCCAGCCTGTTCTGGCTTCTCTCTGTGGAAGGAGCAGGTAGCAGGTAGCACCTGCTACCTCTCGGGCCAAAGGCCACGGGGGTGAGAGTTCTCTGGATTCGAGTGGACGTTGCTAGGCCAGTTCCTGGGCTCTCAGTTTTCTCTTCTGTAAAATGGGGGAAGCCTTAGTTAGGCATGTGGAGAGGATGCTTTTGAGATTTCTTTCAATCCCTTGTCAAAGGGTCAAGAACACAATTTATAAATTCATAGAATAAGGCGAATTGGCCGTAATGATCTGGACTACCAAGGTGTTTTGTCCTTGTGAGTCTCGAATGACCACGAAGAAATGAATCTCTGGAAGTGGGTTGCATTTTCAGGGGTGTCATTGGGAGAGGGTGGCCTCCTGCGGGAGCTGTGGGCAGCTTTTCACTCTTCTGGGCTTGTCGGGGGCTGGGCACATGCTTCCCCCTTGCTGCAGCCTGGAGGCAGGGCCTGCCCTGGGGCCCAGCCACCTGCCCATTCTCCTCCCTACAGCAGGGGGCGCTGACACAGTGCTGGGGGCCAGGGTGGCCAATGGGCTTCTCCTGCTCCCGCCTTTCCCAACTCCCCAGTCCCCGCCTCTCTGCACAGGTGCTGTGGGATGGGCAGTCCCAGGTGGAGGTGAGAGTTCCCGGCTCCTATCGGGGCAAGATTTGTGGGCTCTGTGGGAACTTCAACGGCTTTGCCCAGGATGATCTGCAGAGCCCCAAGGGGCTGCTCCTGCCCACTGAGGCTGCCTTTGGGAATAGCTGGCAGGTGAGTGGCACAGCAGCCCATCTGAGGGGAGGCATAGTTGGCCATGTGCATACCATACCATAGCGCAGCCCCTGGTATGAAAGTGGGGGGGGGGGAACAGATGCACATGGGCGTTGGGCTTTCATGGTGGTTTGGGGCTCCTTGCCTGGCATGTGAAGGGGGAGGCGCACCTCATTGTGTGAATCCCCAAGTCTGCTTTGCTGTTCACAGTGTGACCTTGAACAAGTGACTTGCCTGCTACGGGCCTTGGTTTTTCCACCTATAAAATGGGGACAAATAAAAAGTAGCTGATGCTTCCTTTGCTGTTCTTGTAGGGAGGTTTCTGAGCCTAAAACAAAATAATTGGTGCAAAGTGCTTCAAGGAACAGGGCACTCAAAGGTCAGCCTCCCTGGCTGTTGTCACACCAGGTCTGCTCTCGCCACCTAGGTCCCAGAGGGGCCAGGACCTGGTCAGCCCTGCTCCAAGGGCAGAGAGGTGGATCCATGCCGGGCAGCAGGTTACCGTGCCAGGCGTGAGGCCAATGCCCGGTGTGGGGTGCTGAAGTCCTCCCCGTTTAGTCGCTGCCATGCCCTGGTGCCACCAGAGCCCTTCTTTGCTGCCTGCGTGTATGACCTGTGTGCTTGTGGCCCTGGCGCCTCTGCTGATGCCTGCCTCTGTGATGCCCTGGAGGCCTATGCCAGCCACTGTCGCCAGGCAGGGGTGACGCCTACTTGGAGGGGACCTACGCTCTGCGGTGAGGAGGCAACACCCTGTGCTAGTTGTCGGTGGGGGTGGCACAGAGAGGAAGGGCAGTCCAGAGGGTGAGGTATGGATGGGGAGGTCAGGGAGGGCCATCATGGGTGAGCCTGGCAACTGGAGCCGTGCTGTGACCCTGCCGTCCTCTCCGCCTGTAGTGGTGGGCTGCCCCCTGGACCGTGGCTTCGTGTTCGATGAGTGTGGCCCACCCTGCCCCCGTACCTGCTTCAACCAGCACATCCCCCTGGGGGAGCTGGCGGCACACTGCGTGAGGCCCTGCGTTCCTGGCTGCCAGTGCCCCGCGGGTCTGGTGGAGCATGAGGCCCACTGTATCTCGCCTGAGGCCTGCCCCCCAGTCCTGCTCACTGAGGACCGGCCACCCAGTGCTCTGCCCAGCCCCAGCCAGGAGCTCCAGGGGGCACCCTGAGCTGAGATGCCTCCAGGACTCATCGGGCCAGAAGTCTCCTGTGGAGAGCAGCTCCCCTCCGGGCAGAGCGCAGAGAGAGGGCCGGCCTAGCGCTGGCAGCCTGGGCCCCATCTGAAAAGACAGGCTGTGTTGGGTCAGGAGCAGTAAACTCAGGACTTGACCTCAGGCTTCCTTGTGTGTGTTTCCTCCTGGTGCTGGGGTGGCGCCGTGGGCCACTTAGAACATGGGGTCTGGTGGTCAGTGTCCCTGGAGTTGCATCAGTGGCAGCTCTGGCGGCACCCCCGGTGGCACCCTGAACCTCACTCCCTCCTTGCGCCTGCATGTTGGGCTGCCCCCAGCTGCCAGACCCCAGTGTGGGTGCCTGGGAAACCTTGCAGTGTCATAAGGAGCACCCAGATGTCCTGGCCACAGCCGCATGCTCGCAGTGTGTGGCAGGCATGGCCCGTGGCCGTCATGTGGGACCCTCTGTGGATCCATGTGGAGCCCTACATGGCTGGAAGGGACTCCATCCTCTCAGGGCGTCTCCTTTCCTCGCTGTTTGGGGGACCCTGAACACTAGGGTCCCTCTTGAGCCACTCGAAGCTCTGGTGACCCAGACACCTCTTGCTTGGGTGGGGATCCGGGGAGGCGATAGACATGATGGAATGTGAACACACACGTGTGTGCGCACGCACCATAGAAAGCCAGGTTAGCATGCACACGCACCCCCCTTAGGCGCCCAGATAAACGTGCACACATGCATGTGTTCCCATCCCATGGAACAGACGTGCACATCTTGAGATGTCCTCACAGGGGAAGAACATGGCCTTTGAAATAGAAAAAATCTCTCTAACAAGAAGAATCTCTTCAGAGAGAATTCTGAGTTCTCTTTGCTGTCACCAGCTATGTGGCTTTGGTGTTTGAGGGATCTTGGTTGAAGGACTGGGCTTGGGGGGCTCTGTTCTCCTTGCCGGGTGCCTATTTCAGCAGGAGTGAGGCGAGAGCGTTGCCTGTTGGGCCTGGAGCTCCGGGACTGTGTCTTTGCGGCCGAGGTTATCGCGGCCATCTGTCCCCAGAGGAGGGCGGCGTCGGGGGGACGGGGTCACTTACTCGCTGTAAAACGGGGATGATGGTGATGGCACCTGCTGCTGGAGTTGCTGCCAGGAGGGGTCACAGCTGCACAGCCTCTTGCGTCCTGGCACAGGGTTAGCTGTTGGGAGCTGCTGCCCGTCTGGGGCTTACTACAGCCGTGTGTGTGTGTGTGTGTGTGTGTGTGTGTGTGTGTGTGTGTGTGTGTGTGTGTGTAAAACTGATGTTTGTTCTGGATTACAAGCAGCGCCGTGCGTGCCCCCCTCTATATCAGGGTCACACTCCTCACCCCTCACTGCCACCCCCATGCCCAAGAAACCCCGTCAGAGTCAGACCAGGGTTGCTATGAGATCTGGCCGGGCTCCAGCCCCTGGCTCAGATGTCGGGGCCTGCATTGTTGAGCTCGGGAGCCTTTGTCCCTCCTTGCTCCCGGTTCTCTCTCCCCGCTCCAGGGGCAGGACATCTGCCCTCCTCTGCATGGAGCAGGCAGCCGCACCGGGGGGCCGAGGGTTCCCTTGTAACCCTGAGCAGGCCTTGGCTCTGTACCAGCACCTCTTCCGGTGCCCCGCAGGCCCTGGCCAGCTCCAGGCTGCACTGCGGCAGGTGAGGGGGGCAGGACAGTGTCTCCGAGGGGACAGGCGGGGGCCCGGCTTCATCTTGCTCCCCCAAGGGCAAGAGGGCTGGTGCCCTCCCGCAGGCCTGGAGCTGCCCGCTGTACTGCTGGAGATGGAGAGGAACCGACGGGCCCAGGAGCAGGTAGGGGCTGCCTGTGGGGTATGGCAGAGAGCAGCAGGGTACCCCCTCATGCCCTGGCACCCCATCTTTCTGCAGCTCCTGTGGGACTTAGAGCTGCTGTGCGGGGCAGGGCTGAGCCTCTTCTGGCCCCCCCGGGTCCAGTGCTGCGGTCTGAGGAACCAGGCCCAGTGTGCATGGAGCCAGTGCTGCCGGCCCGGGAGTCGAATAGGGGGTTCTGAATGGCCGAAGAGTGGGGTGAGCAGCGGCATGGCTGAGGGTGGGGGGAGTGTGGCACTGAGAGGATCGTCATGGTGAGGGGAGTGGATGGATTGAGGGTGCTGGGGACAGACCCAGGTTCACATCTGTTTGCGCAGCGGCAGAGTGGACAGGATGGTCGCTCTCTCTGGGAGGGCCCCTGGCCTCGTCTGTCACCGGTCAGCGCGTGCCTGGCACACACATCCTGCTTGCTCTGTGCGGGTGGTGGGTCCCTTCCCGCAGCTGATGGACCATCCTGGTCAAATCAGCTGCGTGATGGTCCCTAGACGCCCTTACGCAGCTGCAGCATAGGAGAAAAGCAGGCTTGGCAGCACCCCAAGGGCAGCGGCACCGATGCCAGGAGCCCCTGAGACAGCAGCCAGGAGCAGTGCCTGCCACAGGCCCCTCTCTCCAGTACAGGTCTCCCAGTCCCAGCTCTGTCACCCGCTGCCTGAGGCACCTGGGGCAGGATGGCAGTCCTGTCTGGCAGAGGCATCCTCTGCTGTAGCAGGAGGGCGTGTTAGTGGGGCATGGAGGAAGTGTGCCGACCGTGTTGTCAGCCAGATGCAGTCTTGTCTGGCAGGAGGGTTCCATTTCCAAGTTTCTTCATGTGAAGGGGGAGGCGTCGAGGCCTCCCAGGGCAGGACTATGAGAGGGAAGCATTGCCGGGGTCCATCTTAGAGGATGACCACCACACTGGGGATGATGCCCTATTGCTTAGAGGCCCCCCAACCCTTCCAGAATTCCAGGCTGTGCCCATCACCCCAAGCCGGGGACTCCCTGAGCCAGAATCATCAGCTCCCAGAGGGGTGAGTCATCTGTCTCCCAGGAAATTCTGTGTTGCCACACAAAAGGACCAGTCACTACCCTTTCCCTGTCTCCTTCTGCAGCCCCTGCCTAGCACCCCCTCCTTGCACCCGGCTTCTCCTGGGTCTCTCATTCGGTTACATCCACAATGCCCCAGAGCCCCTGGAAAGGGTAGCCCCATGTTCCAGCTTCTGGGGTGTTGGGGTGGGGAGGCCCAATAACCTGCTGGGGGCTTGGAGACTGGCAGGCTGACTGTCTCCACTTCCAGAACCCATAGGCTGCCCCTGAGGCAGCCTTTGCAGGCAGTAAGTGCATTGCCAGCCCTGGATCTACCTGAAGCTGGGAGGGATGCAGCCCCACAGTGGCAGGCAGGCCCTGGCAGGCGGGCCGAGCCCACACCTGGTAAGTTGACAGGAGGGGGCAGGAGAGCAGGAGCCTTTGGACTGGGTTTCCCAGACTAGGTTGTGAGCAGGCAGAGATGTCCTCACCTGCCCAGGTGCCAAGATTCTAACTCACTCCCACTCATCCTGATCTCAGGGGCACCCAGGATGACAAATAGGGTTTTTATTTAATGTACCAGTTCCTCCTGGTTGGTGCCAGCTGTCTCAGGCTCTGTGTTCAGGATTCTGAAGTTCAGCCAGGGCTCAGGGGAGAGAGTACCAGAAATGACAGTCCCTGGCTGCCCAGGGAGGGGGTGCATGGAATAGCAGCTCCCTGGTGCCTATTTGCCCCTTTACACCAGGCACTGGGAACACCCAGAGTGCAGGGACTTGCCTTGGCACCTGGGCCTGTCTCTGGTGACAGCCTGGTGACAGTGACAGGCTGGCCGTTCAAACTGAGAGGGATGGAGGCTGTGAGCTCCAAGCCTATTAATATAAATGAAACAGACTCAAATTATTTGGTCAGTAATATGCTGAGCAAAGCCATAAGCCTTTCATCATTCCATCAGGCGCGGGAGAGCAGGGGCCAATGCCAGGGATTATTTTCTGACTGTCAGAAATTTTTTTTAAAAAAGATTTATTTATTTATGTATGCAAGAACTGGGGTACAGGCCAGAGATGTGGGGGGTGAGAGGATTCACCTGAGACAGAGTGGGTACAGAACAGGTAGAGTGACTGAAATGCACTGCTGAGGGGAGCAGTGGGTGAGACAGGAGAGGTCTGCTGTGCCATGTGGGTTTCTCCCTGGTTGGGGATTGAACTCATGCTGCAGAGGCTGTGGATTGCTTCATAGTGCAGTGCTTAAACCCTTGCGCCACCAGGGAGGCCCTGTCAGAAATTTTTACAAGTATTTTCTCTCTTGGGAATAGAGAGATATCAGTGACATTACTACCAGAGAAATAAATGATTGGGTGATAAAACATCAGAATTATAGGGACTGGGGGGTCATTTTCAGTTCATGGCAATAACTTCTACAGGCCTGGGAGTCATCACACTCCTTTGTTCAGAAACTCTTCAAAAGACAGATTCATTTTCACAGAGAACACATGCATTTGTTTACTGTTATGAATATTCACAGATCCGTGTTGCTTGATGGAATATTTCTGTGAAAGTTTTCAGTCTCAGACCTTATGAAATCAAGTTCTTTTAACTAGTTTTATGGATGCAGAACGACGCTCCCTCCACAGCTGCAAAGGAGCAGTGGCGTCTCTTTTTTTAGTTTCCTTTTGTTAATTATGAAGACTTGCAGTTTTTAGGTCGGGCTCTGGCCTAGAATTTTATTTCTTGAATTACATGTGATTTTGCTGTCAGAAACAAAGACCGAGCTAAAGGGCAGGGGGTGAAGTAGGTGCATTCAGTGGGTTTCTTTAGGGCCCTAAGGATGCAGCAGGCTGAAGTGGGGGTGTTCTTGTGAGGGACTGAAGACCCCAGCAAACAGGCCCTCCCTGCACTCAGGCAGCCCCTGGGGGTTTTGAGGAAGAGGGTATGCTGTTCCTCTGCGGGAGTCCCCCTTAGTTAGCCAGGAGGATGAGGAGGATGGGGTCAGCTGTTAGACAAACCTGACAAGCTGGTGCCAATAAAGCTGGAATGATGAACTATCACCAAGTTCAAACATACCAGCTCTCAGAACACCAGCCCTCATCTCCCTCCACCCCTTGTAGTGGGGACTCCCTAAACTTCCTGGTTCTTGTTGGGGCTGAATGTGTGTGAGCAGAGGGACCCCAACATCGGGCTTTCCACCTCAGGTTCCCAAGAGCTGAACTCCACCACCAGCAGCAGCTTTGGGGAACCAGGAAGCTCAGAGTTCAAGGTAAAAGGTCCCTCTCAGATTGGGGGGTGCAGGGGTGGGGTCTGCCTGTAAAGAGACTGCGAGGGTGATTCAGGGAGCCAGGTGGGAGAGGAGAACCACCATGGAAGCCCTACAAAAAACGGGTTTAACAAATTCAAGAATTAGGCAAGGGTTTTAGAGGAATTGAGGCCTCCTGGGGTAGCCACTAGGGTCTCCATGAGCCCCTGGGGGAGCTGGCCCTGGGCATGGGCATTCCCTCACATGCCTGGGACAGAGTGGCCATCCCTCCCAGGACTTCACCCAGAGGGAAGAAAACGGTCAAGCAGAGCCGGAGGCCCAGAGGCCCAGTCCACCACCTTCCAGGAGCCCGCAGGGGAGAAAACTTTCTCGTGGAACCCCAGGGCCGGCAGACCTGTCCTCCCAGGACCTGCCAGGACCCCAAGATGGACCACAGGTGCTGGGCTGGCGTCTGGACCGGGAGAGAGCAGAACTTCAGAAACTGCTGGGGATGGAGAGTCCTCAGCGTCAGAGAGAAGAGAACCTTCTGGAAACTGAGGATGACAATCCTCAGGGTCAGAGAACGGAAGCCCCCCAGGGGGAGACCAAAGCAGTCTCTCAGCGTCCAAGAGAGGGGACACACCAGGGTCAGAGGTGGGAGGCCCACCAGGAGGAGAACAGAAACTCTCCTCAAGGTCCAACTGGAAATCGCCCTCAGAGCCCCCAAAAGGAGGCCGTTGTGCAGGGGGCTGGGGAGACCCCTCCGGGCGAGGAGGCAGCGCGCCTTCAGCCTGCCGGAGGTGATGTCTCACACACCTGGGAGGTGGCCCAGGGAGCGGGGCCTCCACAGCCAGGGGAGGCAAGCGACCCCCCGAGACTTCCAGGGGGCTCCCGCAGGCCCCCGGGAGAGCAGATGCCGCAGCCTGGGGGCAGGGAGAGTCCAAGTCCCGAGGGAGGGTCCCCCCAGCGCAGGCAGGGCCAGAGCCCCGAGTCAGCAGTTGACCGGAGGGCGCAGGGGCCGGCCCTGGACGGGGCGCGGGCTGCCTTCCCGCCCCCCACCGGGCCGCGCCCAGCCCCGGGATCCCCACGGCCCATGAGCTCGGGGCGGCAGGAGCGCCCCGCCGGCCTCTCGGGGTCCCCAGCGCCGGCGCGCGATGCGGAGCGGGAGGCGGGCGAGGGGAGGGGGCGGCGGGAGGGCGGCTCGGCCTGGCTCCGGGGCGCCCTCGGGGAAGCGAGGGGCGCCGCAGAGGCCCCCAGGGCCACGAAGGCCGCCTGGGCCGAGCCCTCGGGCCGGGAGGAGGCTTTGGCCGGCGCGAGCGCGGCGCGGCGGGAGTCGGCGCTGCAGCGGCTGCTGGAGCTGCACGGCGCGGCCCGGAGCCGGCGGCTGGAGGCCCGCGAGCAGCAGCGGCTGCGGGTGAGCACCGGCCGGGGCGGGGGCGGGGGGCGGGGGGGCGCGGCCGCTGACGGGCACCTCCTCCAGGTCCTAGAACGGCTGCACCTCGCCAGGAACCGCCACTGCCGGGTGCATCCCCTGGAGCCCCCCGCCACCCCGGTTCAGCTCCCGCCACAGGCAAGACCCCAGGAGAACGCGGCGGGGCCCCCACGGCCCTGCTGGGGTGGGTGGGGCGGGGCCGGCGCCGCCCGCGCCCCCTTGAAGTGCGGGCGCCCGCACCGCTGGGCAAGGATGCCCCCCAGCAGTGGGAGGGTCGCCTGCCGGGGGCTGCCCCTGCTGCTTCCATCGGAGCCCCAGGGAGGGCGGTCAGGGCGCTCAGCGCTCCATCCCGCCCCAGGAGGACCCGGCCGGGCAGCGGCGCGCCCTGCGGGAGCAGCTCCAGCGCGCGCACCTGGAGAGGACCCGGCAGCTGCGGGCGCTGGGGGCCAGGTGAGGGCGCAGGCCCAGGGGCTGGGGTGGTGCTGCCTTTCCCTGGCATCCGGGATGACAGGCCACTCTCTCCCCAGGAATACCCACAACTTCCAGCAGCTGTTGTGGCCGGAGCCGCCGGACAGGCCTGCACCTGGACAGTAGCGCTCGCCCTGCACAGCCCCTCTAGCCACGGCAGACCGCGCAGGTGGGATGCTGAGAGCCAGGAGGCCTAGGGAAATGGCGGCCAGCTGCAGGCGAGCAAGTGCACGTCAGAGGTGGTTTCGGAAAAGTCCTGATCATAGTCTCAGGGCCCGGGAGGGCCAGAGGCAGAGACACACACCACGGCTTCACCCCACCGGGAGGCCTGTTATTTCTTTTCCTTTCCCTGAGTCCACTGCCTGGGCCCAGGTCAGAGGGCCAGGTCCCGGGGGTCAAGAAAATCGAAGGCCCCGTTCTTGCGGAAGAATGATTCAATGCGGCACATCTTGCAGGAGACCAGTTCTTGCTTCACTGGGGGGCCTGGGAAGAGACGCCAGAGACCAGGAGTGGGTTCCTGGTGAAGGAACTTGCCGAGCATGGAAGCCCCGGCCCCAGGAACCTGCCTGTGTTGTATGTACTTTGTAAGTGTGAAGAAATAAAGACATGCTCCTGAGGAGTGGAGGCCTTGGGAAGCAGGGAGCTGGCTGGCTGCCGGGTGACTAGGAATGGCAGAATGCTGTCAGTCCTCTGCCAGTGTTACTCCAGCCTCAGGGTCCTCCATGGAGGGGGTGGCTGGACACTCAGGCCTGCCTGTTGTAGGGACAGACTGAGCTAGGCCTCTCTGGGAGGTGGCACTACCTCTGCCCCCTTGCTTTGGAAAATTCCTCCTTCCATTCCCCTTTAGAGTTTCCAGGAAGGTGGGGGAAGTTTTTAGGATAAACTCAAGTGTGCTTATCCCCAACCATGCACCTTGTCAGTGCAGGCACTGCAGCCTGTGGAGAGACATGACTGAGCTCTCTCACTTGGAAATTCATGCGCACACACAGCAAGGGACACTGGGCATCACCCAGGACACAGCACCCCTGGTATATCCCCTTTCCCACATCTTCACTTTTTATCTCAAACCTCATCGCTGCCCCCACTTTCCTCCTTCCTAGCAGATGATCTTGACTGAGCCTCACAGGAAGAAGCACCTCAATCCAGACGAGCAGACTCCCTGCCAACACCACAGTCCCCACACATTTCTGTGCTCCCTGCCTCTCCAGTCAGACTCAGCATCTGGAGGTCCCTGGGTAAGCTCCCCATTCTCACAGATTTAAATAGCACCTACCTTCTGATGACCCCCAAATCTGACCTGGCTCCGGAGGGCAACTTCCTTCCACAGCAGCCTCACTGAGGCCTCCAGCACAATTTGGCCAGTACTGACCTGTGCACGCCCCCTTGGACCCTGCTTCTCCCATCTCCCCTGCAGCCCCCGCCTCCTCTCATTCCATGTTTCCATAGGTTTCATCGACTCTTCCTCCAAAACATATCCTGGATCTGTTTTAGCTCTTCTACTAATCGCCTGCATCTAAGCTATTGTCATCTCTTGCCAGTCTACTCTTTGCCCTGAAAAGGCCTATCAGGGTGCTTTTTTAAAAAAAAAAAAGTTAATCAGTATCACGCACCTGCTCAAAGCCCTCCACTGACTTCCCTTGTCATTTACTTCTCAGCCTGAGGTCCCCAGAGGCCTTTCCTGACAATCCAGTCAAAAGCTGCACCCACCCCAAGCGCCCACACCCCAGTCCCTGCCTAGTGTCATCATGGAACTTGCCCTTCGATTAGCTTTGCTCTGGTGTTTATGGCCTGGACCCTCCACTGGCATGGACACCCCCAGGAAAGAATGCCCATGTGTCTCGTGTGCCCAGCACATGGAGGTGAATTGTTTGTGAGGTGAATTGTTTCCAGGGGGTTGGGCTCACCCAGCTGCCAGCCATAAGTGAAGCTGGTGGTGATGGGGAAGATGTAGCGCTTCTCTGGCAAGTCCAGTTTTCGGGTGTTGAGGTACTGGTAGCGCCCCTGGTTGTCGTGGGAGATGCCTTCATACAGTAGGGCCCGGGTGGCAGACGGGACTGGGTACATTTCTGCCTGAATAGGAGCCTTCGGGACAGGGCTGGGGCCCTTGGATGGTACTGCTTTGGGGGCAGGTGGGGGCGAGAGTGGGGCTTTGGGGTGCAAGGTGGGCAGTTTGAGGGGGAGACGGGCTGAAGCCTTAGCCTTCTGCTTAGCCTTCACCATTGAGCTATACTTGCGGTGCCATTCACAGCGCAACATCTTCTCCCTCAGATAGTCCTCCTTCCAGAAGTTCTGCCGCAGAGTATCCATGTTGAGTTGACGTGCCATGGTGGCAAGAGGAGTGGCACCAGGGTAGCTGTAGCTGAGGGTGGACACAGCAAGCAGAGTTCTTCTGACAGCAGGTGACTGCCAATGGAGTCACCTGGCAACCAAGCCTCACCTCACACAGGGCCAGGGTTCTACCTCAGCAGACCTCATACCTTGCTTTCTGAGGCGGCCTCCAGCTGGGGCCTATTGGTTAAGGTTGATCCCCAAACCTCTTCCAGGATCCAGGCTCGGCCTCGAATCTCAAGCTTCCTGGTTTCCTGTGCTATCTGCTTCTGTCCCTTGGGTCAGATGCCCTCCCAGCCCAAAGCAGACTGAAATGGGGGAGCCAAGGGCCTGGGCTCCTTCCTTTCCTAGTCTGGTCTTGGATTCAGGCCAGTCCCTGATTCTGGGTTCTGGCACCATCTTTCTGGTCTACCTATTCTGTTCCTGGGTCTTCTGGCAGAACCTTTTCTAATCCTGCCAATCTCATCCCCACCAACAGCCTCATCCCACATATGGCCTTTCTTGTACCCAGCCCCAGTTTGGACAGAAGCAAGAATATTACTTTAATTTAACATCAACAATGACACTGCATAACAGCAGGGGGAGAGGTAGTGGAGAGAGAAAACAGGCTTCCTGTTTCCCAACCAGCCTTGACTTTAATGGCAGCGCCTCAGCAATCTGGAAGCACCTCACCGGCCTCTCAGTGGAGTGGGAAGGGGTGGGGACTTGGAAAACAGAGGCTCAAAACTTTGAGAAGGGCTGATGGCAAGCCTGGGGAGAAGCCTGGTCAGGGAGGGGCTGCAGGGCAGTGAGGAGCCCTCTAGCGCAGGTCTTCGGTGGTGAACATGCCCCTGGCCCTGCGCAGGATGGAGTCCTTGGCAGCATCATAGGGGTGCTCCTTGGAGGGGATCTCCAGGACAGCTGGAATGGAGCGCTGGTGGGCGTCAAGTGCGTGCCGCACCATCTCCGCGATGTACTGGTTAATGAGGATGATGCCGATGTCATCCCGGTGTAGAAACTGCCTGTTGGGAGAGAAGAGAGGGTGTCCGAGGCAGCTCACGCTGAGTTGGTGTGCTGGGCTGCAGAAAGGAACAGGTGTGATCCAGACAGCCCAGAGCACAAGGGAAAAGGTTGCTATGCTAAACTATCTCTGCTCCATTCAGAATGAATTTCATTCAAAAGCTAAGGCTGTCAGGGCTGACTTCTACCTCCTCTGCTTAGGAGGCCCCCACGTCAACTGGTAGTGAAGATTAAAGTACATGTCAGCGTATTCTGTATGCTGCTTTGTGTAAGAAAGGGAGAGGATAAGAATATAGAGAATATATCCTCTCTCTATATACACTCTATATATTCTACACACACACACACACACACAAATATATTTGTAGGCTCTTTTGCATTTTTTTAAAAAAGCAAGAGTTACCTACAGGGGTGGGGGGAGTAAGGTAGACTGTTCATGTTAACACATGAACAGAACCTTACAACGAGAAATTCAGTATTAAAGGTGAGGGAGGGATGAGGAGACCATGAAGGCCTCAGGGTCCATGCTGATGAAGACAGGGATGGATTAAGAGGGGAAGTTTGCATGAGGTAAGAAAACAACATGGGAAGTGGAAAAATCACATTTTCTGTAAAAGGAGAACCTGGCACTGAATCATCTTTTCTTGTAATCACTTACCCACACACTGGTTCATTAAAATATTTATTCATATTGTATATTCTTCTCTCTCTCTCTCACCACCCCCCCTCCTCCCACACACACACTGAACACCTGCCCTGTGCAGGCACTGACCTAGATCAGACTTGATGACCTCTGAGGTACCATCTGACTGGTAGGTAACAACAAAGTTCTTGGAATAAAATATGTCCTTCAGCTCTGACAACTTGAATCTTTACCAATCTGCTTAGAGATCAGCCTCCCAGATCAGGCCTCTCATACCCCAGGCAGTGGGAACCAGTCTCAGCCGGTAGCTCAGGGCCGGGCTGTTTAGGGAGAAACAGCAGAGAGTGGCTTATTCCTGAGTCTTGGTACAGAGCAGGGGAGAGGGGGCTAGCACACTCAATTCAAGCCACCAGGGCCCATCCTGGATTAAAGGTCATGCCTGCACTCAAACTTCCAGGGCAGACATTGAGGACTTGAAGTGCAAGGTCTTAACAGAAGGTATTGTGCCCATTGTACTGAGGACCAATGGGAAAGTCAAGGCAGACTGGGGGAGCTGCACACCCAGAATGTGGACTTGACTTAGGGGAAGCAGAAAAGGTTGGGACTGGATTCAAATGTCTGCTCTACCTCTTAACTGCGTGACTTTGGAATGTGCTTCAATCTGTTTTCTTACCTGTAGTGGGAATAAGAGCCCCACCCACCACCTCCCAGGACGATGGTGAGCCTCTGAGGCAGATGAAAATGCTGGACGCCGGCTCTACTGGGTGAAGAGCCGGAACCCCAGAAGCAGAGCTGAGCACCGCCCTCTGCGGGGGTGCCGCTATAATGAGGCAGGTAGAGTCCTGGGGCGGTGCCAGTCACAAGTCCTATTCCCTTTCCTTCCTGACACAATGTCATGTGAGAGGGAAGCTCGTGGGCCCGACACAGCTCTGCTCCATGGGGCCCTAAAAGGGAACTTGGAGCGCAGGGGCCTCCGCCTTGGAAGGGCGGGGGTACGGACTTTGCAGGCCCTGGAGGTCGGGGTCGAGCAGCCCATCGCAGACCTAGCCCGCCCGGTGCCCTGAGGGTCCCCTCCAGGCCTCCCAGGCTACCGTACCTGAAAGTGTCTTCGATCTCATTGATGGTGGTGTCCTTCTCCACCACCAGGAAGTTAGGGTGGCGGTTCTTGTTCAACTCCCCTATGCCGCCGAGCAGGAAGCCAGTCACCGTGTCCTCGTCTCCGATCACCGCAATGAGCTTCCCCCTACCCGCCATCCTCGCAGCCGGAGCTCAGCGCAGACCACCTGAAGCCGCCAAGCCCCGCCTCCGCAGTGGATGCTTTCGGCCGCTCCCCCGCCCTCGAGACATGCGCAGTTCCACCACTCCGAGTCCCGGGACATGCGCATTAGTAGCAAAGCCGCCTCATCTGAATACGCCTGCGCCATAAAGGGAGGGCCGAGCCGGGAGACTACGATTCCCAGAAGCCAGCGCGGCACCTTGGGGCGCGTACAGACACGTCATCGGAACGTTGACGCAATAAACCTGTTGAGCCCACTTCTCGTAGGTGCCGAGACCCGGAAGAGTGAATGAATCAGTTATTGTTTGGGTTTTTTTTTTTTTAGATTTTTTTTATTTATTTATACAAACACTGGGTACAGTCAGAAGCGGGGGAGGGTGAGAGAATGAGCCAGAGCCAGAGCGGGGAACGGAACAGGTAGACTGACGAAGTACACTGCTGAGGGGAGCAGCGGGTGGCAGGAGAGGTCTGCGCGCCATGTGGGACCCTCACTGGCGGCCGGGGATTGAACCGGCGCTGCAGAGGCTGCGGGCAGCTTCGGAGCCCAGCGCTCAACCGCTGCGCCACCAGGGGAGGCCCCAGTTATTGTTCTTGAGGGCAAGGTCCTGGACTGAATCGTGTATGTATGGCACGCAATTTACAAGTAGTTCACATTCCTTCAGCTAACAAAGAATGAACAAGTTGATACTGTCTGGTGACTGCATCAAGCCTACGAAGCAAAGCAATGTGATAATTGCTAAAATGTGAGAAGTACGGAGCGCGCACCCGGGGTAGTTAACCCAGGGAGTCAGGGAGTGCTCAGAGAAGGCAAGAGGAAGAACGTGTGCAAAGGCTTGGTGATGGAGTTTAAGTACCTCCAAGAAAAGTTGAAGAGATGGAAGTTACCCCGAAACCACTGAAGGGTTTTAAGCCAGGGGGTGATGTCGCTGGATTTATATTTCAGACATAGCCCTGCCACGGCCCTATGTGCAGAGATAAGCTCCAAAGAGGAGAAACCATATTGGGAGGCCATTGTGCTAAGAGTTGATGGTGGCCAGCACTCAGGTAGGTAATGATAATGGGGAATGTGGAGAAGTAGATGGAGTTTTAAGAGATAGAGACAAAATGGGCGAAATTGCGTTTTGGACTGGATGTGTTTGAGAACATAGAGTGTGCAAGTAGAGGAATGAAAGAGTGAGCTCTGAAATGAGCAGGTTGAAGGGGAAAGGTCCACTCTTTTCTCCTCCCTTTAAACCAGTAGGTGCTCCTGTTATCTGGCATGTAGTTCGTGAGCTTCAAGTGCTTCAGCCATTTAGATGGTCTGGTCTAATGGGTGTATATGTAATAGGCTCAGGATTGGGGCACAAGTGGTTTGATTATTGTAGCCTGCTACTTGGAGGTCTGATTTGTATACTCATCAACATTCTCAGGGCCTTGGTGTCTTCACATAATACTATGCCCACTTCATAGGGCTGCTAGGATTATGTGGAAATAGAGCCCATAAGTGCTCAGCACCCAGGGCCATGCTGTAGTTGGGGGAGAGCAGCTATAAACACATCAGCCCACTGATGGAGGGTAGCTACAGCTGAGGAGGCCAGGAAATGCAGGAAAGTGCTCACACCTGCAGGTGAGGGGCAGGGTGTCTTCTGCTGTCAGGAAGGGTGTGTGGAGATGCCCCTCACCCAGCGCCTGGCACAGATTGACCCTCCGTGGCGATGAGTTACTTAAGAGAATGATCCCTCCTTCACTGGGATTGTCAGGTAAAGTACAGATTGGGACAGTGCCACGTTTTTCACTCTTTTCATTGAACCAGTGCTTATCCACTGTGGCCATGATCAGCATCTGAGCTCATAGATTGCTAAAATAGGATGTCTGTCCTCAAGTAACTTTCTGCAAAGAGTGAGAGGAGGGTAGACAGTGAGAAGAGGTCCTGGTGGGGACATGACCTGGGGCAGGATTCAGAGTCAGGAGCGGGAAGAAACTTACAGGAGAGGGAGGAGGCAGATAGGCTACTGAGTCTTCACTCAGTCTAGAGGAGGAGAGTGGGGTTTGGAGCCTGGCCAGGTGTGTTGGGTCTCCTCTGGACAGTCCATCAGCGGGTGCTGATATGTCCAAGAATGGGTCTAGAGTTGGGGGATTCATCAAGTGAGATGCTTCTTTGCTCTGTGCTGGCTGCTCAGTGCTCACTCATTTCTTCATTCATCCCACCTGTTAGACCTCCCAAGGTCAGGGAGCTCAGTCAGTTGGGGGAGGCAGACACTTAGCTACATGTCACTATCAGAATGGTAAATGTAACCAGAGATGTACCCTAATGCTCGAGCTGGGGTGCTGAGGGGAAGTGTGTAAGAAAAATAGTTCCTCAGGCTCTTTTTCGCCTCCCTGTGGTTGGCCTCTATAGCCGCCACCTGCAGCTTTGTTTTCTTCCCAGGTTTCATTATCCACAAATGATATTGTGTTGATGCAAAAGGCGCTTGGGAGCCTGAGCACAGGGCACATGCACCTGTGATTACGGCCACCCAGGCCAAGAAACTGGCGAACATGGGGTGTGTGCGTATATAAATGTGAACACCTGGGCCAAAAAGCAAGTGGTTGAGAGAGATAAACGGGAGAAAAGCCAGAGAGAAGCTAGAGAGAGAGCTAGAAGATTTCAGGGCCTGGGAGGCTTAGTTGCTGCCTGCCTGCCTGCTGGTCTGCCTGTGTGTCTGGTCCCCTGATTCAGTGTTAAAGGTATGTTAGAGATACTGAAGGCTCCAAAATTCTTTCTGTCCGCCTGAATCAATAACAACCAGCCTGGGGTGGTTGCACAACAGAGTGGTGGTGACGGGAAAGCTTCTTGGTGGTGGTGGTGAAAGCTTCTTGTTGGCCAGGAAGATGGGGAGGGTGGGGAGGCAAGGGTGTTTCCAGGCAGAGGCCCGAACAGCATGCGTGCCAGCAAAACTAGAAGCTGTAAAGAGGGTGTGATGGGGAATGGGCATATTGCCCGACTCGGAACCTTCTTGAAGGAATGGTGAGGAGGCAGCATCGAGACCTGGAGGCCTTATTAGGAAGAGCAGACATTAGCCTGGAGCAGGAGGGAGCCGCAGAAGAGGCATGAATTTAATCCCCTCTGGCTGCAGTGGAGGGCTCAGCAGAGGGAGCTGGCCAGGACAGGGAGACTAGTTAAGAAGCTGTGGGCCAAGGAGCCTAGTTAAGAAGCTGGTGGACCAGGGTGACTAGTTAAGAGCCTGGTATAATTTAGGAGGGAGGCCCTGAGCAAGGCCAGGGTTGAAGGAGGGGCAGGAATAGGCTCATATTTGACCCAAGGCCTGGCTGGGGTAAAAATTCCTTGTTTGCATGTCATTCTGCCGCCTGCCGGGTGAGCAGCAGCTCTGATTGAGTCAGCTCACTATGTGAAAGCCCTAATTTGGAGACTCTCCTGGAGATGAGGCTGAAGGGAAATCACGCAAGGTCAGTTTTCTGGAACATAGTGTCCATCTCCTCCCACCCCACCAGCTCTCCAGGAATCTGAGACCCCATCTCACATTCCTGAGACCCCTGTCCCGGCTTCTTTTCAGTCATCTTGACAACATCCCAGCCCTTGCCAAATAGATGGCCCAGAGGGCAGCCCTCTGCCCCAGCCCCTTTCCCTCAGCCCGGGTCAGTCCTCCGGGGGACAGACAGAAGGCCTCTGCCCCCCTTGGGCCTGATGTTGGTGTCGGCAGACTGGAAGGCGTCTGGCACAGAAAACACACAAAGACCAGCCTAGCCTCTGCGACAGGCCGCACTTTATTTGGAGTTTTCCACCTAAGCAGCTCCCAGCTGAGCTGCATGACATGTGCAAAAGTCCCCCCAGAAAGCTGGGCCTCGCAGTGTGTAAAAAAGGCCCCCATGGGGCAGAGCTGTGCAACCATAAAAAAAGAAAGAAAGAAATCAGTTCTCCAGGAAGCCTGGCTGGGGGTTTTCAGTCACTCCAGGGCCGGGCCAATGCCAAAGCTGCCACTGGTTCTGGATCTGTTTTCTTCTCTGATTGTGCTTTTCCAAGTCCTCGTGGCCACCAGAGGGGCCAGACACAGTCCTCACGGCGAGGAAGTTGGCCGCAGCATGGTTTGAGGGTGACCTCTCTCATACATGCAGACACCCCCAAACACATGCTGCCCCACTGGCCTTACCCCCACCAGAAAACTCAGGGTTTCCCTGGCCTCCACCCCAGCCCCTAGAGTGCCTTCATGACACACTTGAGGAGAGGGACGGCGGCCTGAAACGGACAAGGCCCTCCATCCCCCGGGCACATGGGTGGGACACACGCCGCCCAGGTCACACTCCAAGGCAGGTGTTTGTGGTGTCTGATCCTGTGCGTGTGCATCTGGGTGTGACACTTCGGGGCGTGTGTGAGTTTGTGTTTGGCCAGAGGTGGAGGCCGAGGCTGGGGGAGGCACTTCTGGGATTCAGGGCACATTGACTTTGAAGGGGCTTCCGGGGACACTCTCGTCACCCCACTTGACGATGAGGATGTAGTCCCCTTTCTCCTTGACGGTGTAGGTGACGTTGTAGACCCGGTTCCCCATGTGCTTCACGTACACCTCCTCACAGGGTGTCTTGGGCCCGTGCACGCCCACCATCATCATGTTGGTACCTGGAGAGGGAGGCAGCGAGGGGCGGGCTCACACCAGGGCCTAGAGCACCCGCATGCTCCTGTGGACGTGTCCACCCCCCAGCCCCCGGGAGACCGCCCCCCTCCTCGGCCTGCCTGCTTTGCTGCAGTCCACCGTGAAGGAGTTCTTCTGGCCCACGAAGGCCTGGGACAGGCCGGGGCCCCGTGTCACCACCTTGCTGGCGTCTGAGGAGAACTTGGGGATGGAGCTATAGCTGGAGCCCCGGCTGGAAGACGACTTGGTCACAGTCTCCACCAGAACTGTGGATGTTTCGTGAAGGCTGTGGCCTCCAGACAGCCGGGGACCTAAGGGGTGAGTAGGGTGGCCATTAGTGAGGTTGGAGACCTGCCTTCCTCCCTGGGAAGTGGGCCCTCGCCTGGAGCTGACATTACTTGGGGCCCCATGCTCCCTTCCTTGGTGGAGACACCCCACTCCAAAGAAGCCCAGGCTCCGGGCTCCGGGCAGGCTTATCCAAGATCTTGGGCCTCCGAAGGCCCTGTCCCTCACCCTCTGGACTTTGGGACCTCAAGCTGCAGGGTAGTAAGTCTGG